ATTAAGATTTGGTGGAACATTCAGAAGATTTTTAATAGAAGGATAAAATTTACACCACAATTATTTTTGTTAGGTATTATTGAAGACTGTGATGGCAAAGAGATTATTTTAATGTTGAATTTTATCACGGCGGCAAGGTTATTGATTGGGCAATATTGGAAGAAAGATTCCTTGCCTACTCTAGAGGAATGGTTTCTTAAAGTTCCTTATTTATCAGAAATGGCAAAAATTTCAGCTTATCTGAAAGACCATTCACAAGAGAGATATAATTCTGTGTGGAAAAGATGGGTAAATTTTGTACAGAATAAATATGGGATTAGAAAGTATTATTTAGCTTTTGAATAATTTATAGCTTAATGTGGCTATGGTTGGATTTGTTGTTTCTATGTATTGGAGTTAAAGTACTTTTAATCCTTTTGGATGTATGTATAGTTGATTGATGTTCATTTAATTTGTATGGGTTTTTTTGTTTTGTTTTTAACCCTGTATTCAGCTCTGGGAAGGAGGGGGGAGGGTTATGGGGGGTGGGAGGGGGGGAGGTATTAATAAAGATATCACTTTTGTTTATAAAATTAACTTAATGCCTTAATTAGGATCAATTCTAAAAAATGGCAACTCTTTTTGCTACCAAAAATCATTACAGGAAAGCAAATTATCAGAAAAGATGGACATTTTAACAAACACAATTTAAAAGTCAAGAATTATTTTCTATTTCACTTAGCATCAATTAACAGTCAAATAATGAAGAAAATCATCAAGAAGTTCAACACTGAAATATGTCTTCAATGTTTCCTGGAGTTTGCCCAATTAAATGTTTGTTGCATCAATTACACTATCTAACCGTAATAGATATTCCTTATTCAAAAAGTATTCTATGGATTTCTAAGTTTAATGGGTATTATTTTAAGCAACAAATGACAAGGAACTGCGGCCCTTGGAATAGGTGGAACTTGAGTTTGCTAGAGAGCCTCAATCCTGGTGGGATTGTCTTAAGATGTGCTCAGGAGCAGATTTGGGCTGTTGGCAGAGCTGTTGCTAGGAGTATAAAGGCTGTCAAAGAAACACCCTGATCCAAGGAGAGAGTTCATACACATATTGCTGGGTTGCTGCCAGATTCTGCTCTTGCTCTGGCCAGACAACCTGGCAGGAGTCCTTTTAGAACATTGTCTGATAGTTTTATTTATTGCAGGCCACACTATTTATTGTCATATTTATGCTTGGTCAAAATATACACTAAAAGTCTTCTGCATATACTTTGCACAATGAAGTTTGAGAACTCCTGTATGTATCACATATTTCCCATGTGTGTCAAATGAATCCAATTTGTACTATTTAGGATCTAAACTGGAGTGTTTTCTATGAAAAGATTCATTGCGCTGAAACAAATAAAAGAAATTACATGTGACCATTGAGTTCAATGATTTTTCTCTGTAGTAGTCTATCCACTGTAGTGAGGAGGTAGAAACTAGGAGTTTGTCTTTTAAAATAAAATAGAATTCAAGGCATTTCATTATATTAGTACAGTGTTTCCCAAACTTGACAATTTTAAGGCATGTGGACTTCAACTCCCAGAATTCCACAGCCAGCGTTGCTGGCTGTGGAATTCTGGGAGTTGAAGTCCTCATGCCTTAAAATTGTCAAGTTTGGGAAACACTGTATTAGTATATAGTTAAATGAACTGATATCCATATTCATGCTTGGTCAAAATACCAATAGAATACTAGAAGTCTTTACATGTATTTTGCAATGAACTATACTCTATATACTTATTACTATGTGTGCATTTCCGGCTTCATTCCTAGCCGTTCACACCCTCCAAGATTTTCCACAATGGTTGTGAGTGAATGGAATACAGCATTGGTGATAAACACCATAGAAATTTGGGAGTGAAAACATGGTGATATTAGATTAGCTCCATCCCTTTGATATTCTGAAAGTCCCTTAAGACCTGGTTATGTAATCAGGCTTGGGGCCGCCAGGAAACCAAATGGTCCCTTCATTAGGTGTTTATTTTTATCCGCCATTTGTTTAGGATTGGTATATTTGTTTTTATAATTTCTATTTTAATCTGGATTTTATTGTCATGCCGTCAGTTGGTGTCCCGATGGAATAAATGCAGGAATGCAGGAACGAAGTGCAAGTCAGGTATTTTAATCCCTAACAAACAAAGTCAGCACTGGGAGTGGCTTGCTCCCAGTGCTTCATATAACAGTGCCACACCCAAAACCCCACCCTCCAACCACTAACCACCATCCGCCCAGCTGTCTTCAAAAGTCCGTTTGTCCGGCCCTGGCCCTCCCCCAGCTGAACCCCACCCCTCTGTCCTGCTTCCTGTCCGTTCAAGATGGTGCCATCTGCTGACGTGCTGCTTCCAGGCTCCTCTGGCCCCCCCCCGATCTGCCACCAGTATTCCCCCTGGTAATGGTGAGTGCTCTGTGTTGCACAGCCCCTGGCTCTGCACATCCCCCCCCCTTTGTCCAGCTGTTGCACGGGCTGTCTGCGCTGTTGGGAAGGCCCCCTCGCCCGGTTCCGGCTTTTCGCCGACCTGCACATGTCGGCTGGGCTCCGCAATGGCCCGCCATCGTCCGACGATCAGCTGGGTGGCGGGGCGGTGAGGCTTGGGGTTTCCGGGTGTCGGCCAGCTGGGCTCAGCGGTGTTCTGCCGGCCTCCGACACCCAGCTGGTTGGCGAGGCGGCGAGGAGTGGGTTTCCCTGGTGCCGGCCGATGTGAGGGGCCGTGCAGCGTCGCAGCTGTGTTTGGCGGCGGTGGGCTGATTTCTGAATTCCCCCCCCCCAGTGAATGGCAAGCCCCGCAGGGCTTGACATTTATATTTTTATATTGCTTATTTTTATATCTGTTATTTGATTGTTTGTACACTGTCCAGAATCACAATTAATGAAAAGGGTGGCTATATAAATTTGATTAATAAATACATATACAAGCATCTCCTGCCAAAAGAATAGAGGTTCATAATACATATATTTGTATTACACTTAAATTAAATATAATTTCTATTTATTTTACACATGCAAAATGATTTGTTTCAAATACTTCTATACTGGTTTGTACAATTCTGAGCAGCTTATTTATAAACAACCTTTTCTGGCTTTGCCACTTTTAATTAGTGATAAAATGGTAATTCATATCATAGTTTCTTGTTCCCCTGCAGCCCATTTTCACAGCTTAAGCCATGTTATGAGAAATCTTAAACCTGCAGATGGAAGAGTTGAACTGTGCCTCCCTCTAATCCAAATCAAAAGGTAAGAGACATTGCAAGTTATAGTTCAGCAACTCATAAATTCTCCCAGCTGTGATCTAAAAATAGATTTTATTAGAACAAGCGATACACAAGGAAGACAGTTTTTATAATATATTTGAACAAAGAACAGATGGGATAGTGGCACAGAACATTAAAACATGGGAATAATGCTATATACAGGACATTACATCATTGCCTCAATTTCTGGTGCTGACCTTTTCGTATCTATGTGATTGTTTTGGTTAAGATTTTTTTTTTCTGTCCTGGCTGAAACAGTAACCATACTCCAGTCATTAAATAGCTAGGCAAAGAAATACAAATGCTTAATGCTGTCCTGCTAGATGTTTCAGAAAGTTACCTGATACAATTTTCAGTCATGAGTAAAACTGGATTACAGTATAGGCAAATACTGGTACAATGTTTTTATAAGACTTTCTCATGTACATTTTAAGTTCTACATTTGCTTAAGAAGAAATCCCTGCTCATTCCATCCCATACAACTGTTGATATATACTATAAGATCATTAAAAATCCATCACAAGAATCATAGATTACAATTACTGATTTTCTAGGTCAGGAGTGTCAAACTGCCAGCCTGTCGCCCGATTGCATCATGCGGAGGCCACACCCACCCCAGCTCTGGCAATGCGAAAAAAGTCATGTTACGTCGCGACACATCACGTGATATAGCAAGTTTGACACTCATGTTCTAGGTGCACTGCCTCAATCTGACTTTTCATTAATATTGGATGAGCTGTCATTTTAAACATGAAAAGATGTTTTATTCAATAATGATTTACCAATGGGAACTGCACCATCTACTGGTTTCTTTATGAACCAACTGGTAGTATGGAAAAATCAAAATGTGAAATCTCATTATAGCCTAATAAGCACTCCGTTTGCCTCTTCTTTGTCCTTTGTAGGATATCAGCTTGAAGGCATATATGACAATGATTGAATATTTTTAGTCAAAAATATTTATAGCCCCAAACTTTTTGCTTAACTAGAAGCAGCATTTATTTGAACATTATGCTTGCATCAACCCCCCTTATAAAAAAAAACATTTTTTGTCAGAAAAAAATAATCTTTATTTCACAGCTAAAAGATGTGACAATAAGAAATTCTAACATACTATATTTCTGCTACAACATGGGAGACCAATTCTGCATAAGCTTAAGCAGCTCTAAATCTTTTAGGGAAATATATTTTTTCACAGAAATAGATTTACCTTGTCAAAGGTAAGTTTCCCTCAAATCAAGCTCCTTTCCTGGTAACTACATATCCAAATTCAATCCATACTATTAATCTAGCTATTAATATATTATGTTGATAGCTATAGAGCTTTGCTGACATTCAATCTAGCCTACAGCTTTGGGAATTCAAATTAAATCTTTCATTCAAGTGGTAACTAGTCTGACTTGATTTTCAAGATCATTCAAGGCTGGGTAGCTGCTACTCTTTGATGAAGCCTTGATTTACCATGATCAGAAAATTAAAATGGACTGATATTATCCAAAGTCATGAGTTCTTGTCATAAGTATTCTATAAAAAAATGCCTGTAGCAATTTGTCTGAAATTAGAACTTTTCATCTTAAAAACACTTCTCCCTTTTCCTTCAAAGACTTCTTTCAAAGCACACTGGATTAAACAATTAGCCAGCCTAAATTTTCTAAAGTAATCTTTAACAAGACTTAGTTTGAAATCTGTGAATAATTTAAAACTATGTTGTAGCCAACTCACTTTTGATAATTGTCCTTTGGTTTGCTTTTGATCTCTTATTTGGAGTTCCTAGTTTTCCAATGCCTTTGTAAGAGCTGTATTTCCCATTTAGAAAAAAAAAAATAAAGACAGGTACAATTTAAACTTAATTATTATCACATTGAAGCATGTTTAGCACTGCATCATGTGAAAAGCCATTATTGTTTATTCGACCAATACAATTTAAACAAGTGAAAGTCACAGTAGAATGGACTACTATATCTACCATATTCAGCTTATTTCACTATGTGCAGCATCAGAAATATATAAAAATGCTTTTCAAAGTTACATGAGCATAACTGAAGGCAAAGGTAAAGATATAAACCAACTTGACTTATAGTACCTTCATGTTGTATCTAATTACATTATTTAAAGGTCACTCCTAAAAATAGAGCCTTTGTCATCCTAGCTGGATCATGAATTTCACATTAATGCAAATAGATAAATGTACATATTTTTAAAATGTATGCAAATTAATCTATGTAACAGCATGAAATGTACTAGAAAGGTAAGCATCAAGGCTGATAGGGTTTTGGAATTTATTTTTCAAATGGACAATAAGCTGTGCCCTTCATTTCTTAATCAATTTATAAGACTATTATCTTTATTAGGTAAAAGAGGCTCTATTTAGTTACAGCTTATCACTCTTTTTTGAAGCTATGCGCCATTTTTGAGACTCCTTTATTCTTAAGAGACAAGGAAGAGGTTGCTGGAGGCAGCTAAAATAAGGAAGCATAGAGTACTTTCTCTTTTGAAATATAAGGATAACAATTGTGGTCTTAATTTACTATTTTTAGAATAATCTGCAGCCCCATATTGTATTGTTGTGGTTGAAATGTTCCAATTTTCATGAACTCTGATTGGCTAGAAAAAGGAAAAAATAAAGAAATAAATAACATTTCTGACCACTAGAGGGAACTATGAAGATGTTTAACTCTGAGCTGGAATCTGTCACAAAAACATTTTTTGAGAAGTCATTTATACCATAAATCACTTAGGGTCCAAAAGTACTAATTATACAGAGGATATTAAAAAGAACATTAGCAACCCACTGTAGAAAATTATCAACCCACTGCCTCAATTTCACAAATGCTGGACAATGCAAATAACCTAACTGTACCTTTGAAATATAAATCTGACACCAGTTTTTATTATGATGATGGTTTGAATATAACCTCCCAGTGCAACTGAAACAAGAGTGTTAAGTAAACCCACAACTCTTAAGAGGTCAAGTTTGGGATATTTTCCTCATGGATACCAACAAGGTCGAAAACTCTCTGAGAAAAAAAGATATGATAGACATCTTAGAGAAGGAAACTATTCTACGAGCGTTTGCTCCAGGTTAATTTACAATGTCTAATACAGTGGTTCTCAACCTGTGGGTCGGGACCCCATTTGGGGTCGAACGACTATTTCATGGGGGTCGCCAAACAACGCAGTCTGCCATTTTTTCCCCCTTTTCCTTACTCCCTTTTATTCTATTGGCTTTTGAAAGCCAATAGAATAGACTCTCTTGAATAGAGTCTAATTCTATTGGCTTTCAAAAGCCAATAGGAATTGTCCAGGCTGTCTCTGCCCTGCTGAGCCCACCGAAAGTCCCATTCTGCAAATGGTGCTGCACCAGTTGAGTAGTCCTCGACTTACGACCGGTTGAGTAGTCCTCAACTTACGACCGGTTGGGGGTCGCGGCATTAAAAAGGTTGAGAACCACTGGTCTAATAGAACAATCTAGGGCAGTGATGGCGAAGCTTTTAGAGACCGAGTGCCCAAACTGCAACTCAAAACCCACTTATTTATCACTGGGTGCCAGGTGGGCATGGCCCACTGGGTGGGCATGGCTGTAGTGGTCATGGCAGAATAGGTAGGTGTGGCTAAGGTGGGCGTGGTCACCTTGATGTTGCTCGTTGGCAGGGACTCCTATGGGGGCCGGGCAGGGTTGGGGGAGATCCAGGGGGTCTCTGGTAGGTGGGGCAGTGGGCAGGAGGCTCATCCTGCAGGGTGAGGGGAGGGGAGGCAGGGCGGGGGTACCATTGCCACAGGGCAAGGTGATGCAGGGGTCAGGGCAGCTGCTGCCTGACACTATCAGTCCCCGCACACAGGCCAGCGAGCGCATAGGGGCTGATGGTGTCCGTCAGCAGCCACAGCCTGCTGGCCCCTTAACCAGCGCACTCTGGGACTCCATAGCCCGCTGCCAGCAGTTCAGAGAAACTGCCTCTGAACTTGATGCCCGGCCAACAGCTAAGGAGATGATGCAGTGGGTCATGCCCGAGAAAAGGAGAGCATGCGAGGCCAGGAGGGACAGGATGGGGGGGGGGAGGAAACCAACTGTGCTGCGATGCATCCGGCCACGTGGGACCTCGACGAGTTAGCTGCTTGAAGAGGGACGGTTGTCATCTCTGGGGCATAGCGCACGTGCCCACAGAGAGGGCTCTGAGTGCCGTCTCTGGCACACGTGCCATAGGTTCGCCACCACTGATCTAGGGACATTTTTTTCATGGACATAAATAAGGCTGAGAATTTCTTGAAGAAGAGACTTGATAGACACCCCTGAGAAGAAAAAGATTTCATTCTATGAAGACAAGAAGAGGGAGTGACTTAGCTTTAAGATAGGTTTGTATGTATAAAATGAGTTTGTAAATGCATGTCTTTTTATGTAATGCTGAATAACTCCCAAAGTTTGTAAAATACTAATGATTAAATTTGAAAATAAGAGAAGAAAAAGATCCTCCATGAGAATAAACTCGAGGGAGAAATTTGAATTCATGTGCAAATTGGAGTTAATTGGACTTATATTGGTGTGATATATATAATTGGATAAAAACTCTAATGTAGTTTTCTGTTTTGGGTTCTGGATTTAAAATGAAGAGGGTTTTCCCCACTTTATATATAATTCTTGAGTATTGTTTAAAGTTAGTAAAATATCCAAACTAGAAAAAGTTTTTTCTTCCTTTAGGGTTAAAAAAATTGAAATAATAAGAGAATTGATTCTCTTAATATGAATTATGATAAAGATTAATGAGTTAATAGAAGTATTTATTATTCCCCAAAGCAAAGAGAAGCAGAGATGGTCAAATTGATTCTTTTATCCAAAGAAGAGAGTTTATCTAACCTTGTTTCTATTTTGAAATTGTTTCTGGATTTTGTTCTTGCAATGAAAAAAAAATGAAACTTTGATTTTGTTTTTGCTAATTAGATTTATTGTTATAGAAATGGCTTGTACATATTGTACAAGTAAAAAATTGTGGTTGTAATGTTATCTTCTACTATGCTAAAGAGAGTCAGAAGTTGGACTTCCGGTTTTGCACGGCAGCGACCAGTCACGGGCTTGTGGATTCTCTGCCCCCCCACAGCTAATTTCTCCCTGCCAGGGGACTCTAAATGGGTCTAAGTCACCCCAGAGAGGCGACAAAAAAAGAAGGGTGCTCCAGCGATTCTGGAACGGCAGCAGCCATTCTGTTCAACTTGGGGAAAGCCTTCTAACCTGACAGGAGAAGAGCTGGCCGTATTGCATCAACCAGCCCAAGCTACTAGCAACCGAAGTCCAAAAGCAATAACCAGCACAACTGTGAACAGCCTGTTTGAAACTACATTTATTCTACATTTAATTTCCTGGAAAAGATCCCCAAGAAGCAAAATACCTCCGAAAGGGAAGGAGGGGGATTTCTGTCCCAACCTTATACTAACAGAAGTGGCAAATTAATCTTTTTCTGGAGGATCAAAACATATGGAAATGAAATAAATATAAAACCTGAAATTTAAAACTTAAATTTGGATAAATCTAAAATTGTTTGAATGGTTAAGACTCTCATTCTAAAGATAATTGTTCATTTTGGAAATTGAAAAAGTGGTGGATGAACTATGACAGCTATGACTTTAATATAAGACTTGGCAAAACTTGGGAAAAGCTAATAAAAGCTTTAACAACAAAGAACAGCTGTGACAAAAAAAGACAATAATGTGGGCTGTAGACAAAGAGAATTATAAATTTCAGAAAAAAAAATCATTTTTGAACTATTTGGATTACAAATATTTATTTAACTGGGACTCTAAAGATATTTGCAGAGAAAAGAAAGGAAGAGAAAAACTCAAATTCTTGGCCATCATGGATCACAGACATGTAGAAAGAACATATCAAGAAAACATAAAAACTTCACAGGAGGAGATATATAGTATACTGCAACTAATTCAAACAATAATGATTTTAAACCACAAAGAAATCCAAAATAACTTTGAAAATATAAATCAATCTATTTCTAAGTTAACTCTACAACAAAAAATTCCCCAGAAAATAACAACAGAAAAGGAGCAGATAAAACAGATAAATAGATATAGAATTGAGAATAGAAACTTAAAGATGGAACTTAACAAAACAAGGAAACATGATTTAATCCTAGTGGGGAAAAAAACACAAAAATTGGAAAAAACAACTTATCCCTTAAGACTACAAAATAAATCTGAGGACAAGAAAACAGATTGGATAAAATATACTGTAGAGATATCAGGAACATCAGAGAGAAAGAAAATGATAAGAGAAGTGGAGAGAAAGAAAAAGATTTTCAACAAACATGGAAAGGCAGAAATCCCATACAAAGACACTTCACCTGATTTACTTTTTATATCTACAGTAACATTTATGAACATATGGAAAAACTTTTTGATTCAGCAAAATACATTAAGAAGAATACTGGGCAAAAGAAAAAGACTAAAGTGGAAACCAAGAAAATAGATAATGGGACTTACCAGAGAGAATACTTAAAAAAGAAAATTTCTTTGAATATGGTTCAAGAAATAGAAAAGTTTTGGAATATATATATCATTCTAAGAGGGATGAATTCCTTAAATAATATAGTATGCTTTTTTCCCTTTTTTGTTCTCTTTGTTGATATGAGTAATATAAAAAAGTTGAAATGACTTAGATAAAGGAAATGTTTTAGATATTTAAATGTGATTGAATTTAAGAAAATTATAATGGATAAAAATGTTTTGAATATGAGTTAAAGGACTAGATGACTAGATGTATTAAATGGAATGTTTAAAGATTAAACATATTTTTAATTATGGTTAAAAAGAATAAGAGATTTAGGAAATAAATATATATTAGCTTAGGAGAGATATATATTTTAAGTAGTATGTTATTTTTTATGTTTCTTTACTCTTGCTCTTTTTCCCCACTGTTTTTTCTATTCCTTAAAAAATGTAAAAGTGTGAGATGGTTCATATGGAAAAATTGAGTTAAATTTTTAAATGTAATTAATTTTTGAGAAAATCTTAACCAGTAAGAATACCTAGAATTTGGTGGGAGAAACAAATTAAAATAAGGATTGAAGCAGGATCTATGATAAGGCAACCAGAATGATTAGATAGAAAAGAAATATATTAATGTGATTATTATTTTTAGGAATATATAAATATATATATTTTCTCAATATTCCTAAAAATAAACAATCAAAAATAAACAATCAAAACAATAAGAATTGTATTAACTCAATGTTTGCAAAAGAGGATATTTTGGGAAAAGAGGAAAAACTAAAACCATTATGTGGATTATGGATTATAAAAATCAATTGTTATTGTTTTACAAATGTAACCCAGACCACACACACCAATTATTAAGTGATTTATGTTTAAAAAAAATCAATAAAATATATTACAAAAAAAGAGAGTCGGAAGATGGTGCGTTTTTCTTTTCCCCCTTCATACCTTTCCTTTCCCTCCCTCTTCCTCCTAGTTTTCTACTACTTTTTTGAATTTCTCTTTATATTTTATATTTTGATAAACCAATAAAAACTATTACTGGAAAAAGGCTGACAGTGTTTGTTGTATACAAATCTTGCAACCATCCTTAAATTAAAACATTCTAATCAAAATGAAAACTTAAAAAAAAGCTTTTTTCAGGCTGCCTGGAAAACACAGAAAATGATCTAGAAATGTTTAAAACAAGAGATGAGAAAAAAATTCAATTTTGTATAATTACATAACTCAATCTCTAAATGTATTTATACAAAGATACTGTGTCAAAGTAGTTTGCTGAATATGCCACAATAACTAATTTGCATATTATTCTAAGGTATATGCAGGTTCAAGTTTTACATGCAACAGAGCAGGGTTTTTCAACCAGTGGTACGGGTACCACCTGTGGTACATTGGGATCTGGCAGGTGGTACGCGAACATCCTAGAAAAGTGGTAATGGGGGAGAAGAATGAGCTGAACCAGTGGCAGCACCGCACAAGCCTGAGCGAGAGATGGTTGGAGCTGCAGAACTTGGCACTGATCCTGGTGCTTCTGCTAAGCCCAGAAGAAGCGCCGATCAGCTGGAATGTTGCAGCCTCTCCAGGGTCTTGTGATTTACATTCAGATGCTTGGCAACTGATTCATATTTATGACGGTCACAGTGTCCCAGGGTCATGTGAAGTGACCAAAACCTGCTGCAACCACGCAACAGACGGGGGAAATAAAAACCAAACACCCCCTCACCCCACCCTCACTGCCAATCCTCAACCAAAATGCTCACAACAATGGAAACCTCAGACAGGAGGAAGAGCGCCGCTGGGTGGGCAGGCAGGTGTCTTGCTCGGCTGTGCCTTGGGGGGCACTTTTTTCAGTGTCATTGTAAGTCACTAAGCGAACAGTTGTAAGTCGAGGACTACCTGTACTTTATCACTTTTTTCCTTTTTTTGGTCATCAAGTTTTTGACACCTTGCTAGGCGACTGGTGGTACTCGGATATTGCCATATCCTAAAAGTGGTACAATGGGTGAAAAGGTTGAAAAGCCCTGCGATAGAGTGGCAGCTGGACTTCACAGGATAATAGCATCAGGTGGACAATCAGAAAAGCTTTTAATTTTGACAGCTGCCAGCCTAGAAAAAGTTTTTCCCAGTACTTTCCGTTTGATAAATTTGTTTCATTTTTGTTGTTTGCATCAAGTTGGTAGAAGCAGTACCTTAGGAACAGCTATAATCTTAGACATGATCGCACGATTACAATTACTGTTTGAAAATATTTAAGCAGGAAATATGTGGTCACCTTTCTTGCCACATGTATCTACTTTGATAACAGCCCCTCGCATAACAAATTACAAGGTGTGGTGAATGAATTCCTATAACTCTAAATGGACTATCAATGGAAGATATCTGCATCTTATCAGCAAGTGTTTGTAAATGGGTACTTATAAATCAGCACTAATTTCTTCCGTTTTACTTCCTTGGACTTCACTCTTGCTCCCCGTTCGCTGTTCCCGACTCTATGCGCACGCAGTCATTTAGGATTACTACATACTTCCCCATCTGATTTAACTACATTTATTAGCCTTGAAGAGACCCAAAAGTTATTCATGGGGTTATAGACACTTTTTTTTTTGCAGCAAACCGAAAAGATACAGTACGTATTACTCAAACTTGCAAATTCTCGGCAGGCTTACCAAGACTAGAAGCAAATCTCATGGAAAAGCATAGCCTTCCTCCCCCCCCCCTTCGCTTGTTTCTCGTTAGAACTCCTGAGCATGAACATTGCTTAAGAAGACCAAGTTAACAACTGTCAATCTTCTTCTCTACCGCCGATAGCAAACTCAGCAACTACCCTAGTCCCAACGCCAGCCCCACAGAAAAAGACGAAACTGACTTAGGCCCCACGGCCCTATCGCGTCCACTTAACAGATCTCACGTTACCTACGTCATTTCCGCCCGGCCTCCTTTAGGGAATCTGTTCCTCCTCTTCCTCTTGGTTTTTCGGGCGGCGCTTCGGAATGCTGAAACATCAGCAGCCAACGGCGTGTCGCGTGACTATCCGTCGAATGACGTAGGAGGAAGAAGACGCCATTAGAAAGGAGGCTGAGCGAGACGCCTCGGTGTGGGAGGAGGGTGGCTCGGGATTCTCTCTCTCTCTCTCTCTCTCTCTCTCTCTCTCTCTCTCCCTCCCCCTTTCGTCTCTCCTTCTCTGGTTTGCTTCCCCCTCGCAGTCATCTTTTTCGCGGCCTCCTCTCCTTTTTTTCTTCCCGCTCACTCCCCTTTTACGGTTATCTTGGACTCTGCTCAGCGCCCCGTATCAAAGCGGAGCGGGGTTCGGCGGTTTGCCGATGTGAGGCCGCGGGAGCGGCGGTCACTTCGCTGCGGATGGCGACGGCAGCGGCCACTTCTGGCGCGGGAGGCGGCGGCGGCGGCGCTGTCGCCGCTGCTGCTGCTGGCGGGCGAAGTTTCTCCTTCAAGGTGGTCCTGCTCGGGGAAGGCTGCGTGGGAAAGACTTCTCTGGTACTCCGTTACTGTGAGAACAAGTTCAATGACAAACATATCACCACTCTGCAGGTAGGCCCGGGAGGCAGCAGAAGGCCGCTCGCCGGCTTCGGCAGGGGTGAAATTCGGCTTACTTCTTAAGATGGGCTTGTTTCTCCTATCGCACTGAGTCCTTTTGAGGAGGGGGCGAGATTGGGCCCCCGAGCTGTTTTTTTTCCCACCTAACCTGAACAGCGAGAGAATGAAGCTTTTCGAGGTTTCCAGCCCGGACCGCGCACTCTTTAGAAAAGTAGCCATTAATGTTTATCAAATCCACCTTTTATTGGAGATAAATAAAAATGATTGTGTCAGACAACATGGAAACACAAAAGAGGTAGTACCGTAGAAGAGCTGAAAAAAATAGGTACCATCTGTTCTAGTTTAGAAATGCTGTAGTAAACTGGCTCTGCTATTTCTCTGGAATTTGAACACATTGGGTATTTTAATGTATGCATGAACCGAAGCCTACTCAATGTACTGTTTTTCACTCTCTAGTATTAAGTTTCATAAATATATCCCTGTGAATAGTTTTACTACTGTAGAAGCCCAAACTTGAGAAGGACAATATCATTAAAATAATTGTCCCATAGAGTTTTGCAAACTGATCTTTCTGAATCTATATAATTCTGTAATTAAGATAGAAATGATAGGTATTGAGAATAGAACTAAACTGAAGTGGTTGTGTGGCCTTCTTGCTGTGCAGAAATACAGTATTCAGTGAAATAGCAGGAAATAATAAAATGTTATGGTAATTGCAGAAATCTCTAGGCATCTTGATTTATTATAATTTTTTTCTTTCAAGAATTTCACATGATCATATATTCTGAATGAAAATAATTCTCATACCCTCTTTTTTTAAAAAAAGTTTATCCATTTACCTTCTGCTGACCTCTTTACGAATTAGTTAATAAATATTTGATTTATATATAGTAAAATCTTGAATGGTTCGGTAATTTGAAACTCTTGTTGCTACAGTTCATTTGCTTTGTGCATATTCTTTAGAGAATAGTGATGGAACATGTTGTCAAATCCAGTGTTCAGTCACATGCAGAGCTGAAATAGACTCTGAATAATTCAGATTATAGAAGGATATATTTGTAATGATGTCTGTCCAAGGATACAAATAAGACCACTGTTTAAAGCAGACATGTCAAACTCGCGACATCACGTGACGTCGTGCAACATATCGGAGCTTTTTCGCCATTGCCGGCAATGGAGTGGGCGTGGCTCCAGTATGATGAAACCAGCCAGCAGGCTGGCAGTTTGACACCCCTGGTTTAAAGGAAGCTTAGTTATTACTTATCACTTCCATAAGTAAACTTGATTAAGATTAACTTCCACTTTCATCTATTAGGGTCCATGTGATTCTTCAAAGTAATAGACTACTTCCATACCAAAATTCTGTGTTCTGTCTAAATGTCTGTTTAAGATGGCATTAAGGATAATTATACTGAGTTTATGAATTGCAATACAGTACAGCATTGCTGATCTTTTTGCTTTGTAAAACAAACATGCAAGAGAGAATATATTCCATCTTTGCAAGCCAAGCAATTATTTTCGGCTACAATACAGAAAAACATTATTCCCATTATACTGTTCATTGATAAATCACAAGTTTATTTTCTTACTAGTATATATAGAATATCAGTACTTTTTTAATACAAGGTTTAGACAAATCTGCTAGACTTGTTAGGTAGATTCTTGGGATTTCCCTTTTATCACTATTAGTTCAGTGAATAAAAAATTTGTGCACTTGGATGTTAAGATTGTTCTCTCTTGCAAATGACCACTATAATGGGAAGCATTGCAAACTAGCAGTCTGCAGCTAAGAATTAGGTACTGGAAGGCAATCCATGCTGGATATGATAGTTAAGGACTTTTTTCAAAATTAAGTGTCAGTTCACAATTGCTATTTGTAACTTCCTCTAAAGATTACATTTGTTGTTATTCAACTCTTTAACATCCTGCTCTTTCTCAAAGAAGCCCCAGGAGACTTACATAATTCTTTGTTTCCATTTCATACCAGTTTTATTGTAACACTCCTATAAGACAAGTTATGTCTTAAAGCAGTCAATTCTATTGTTTTTTTTAAAAAAACCACTGCAATATAATCTGAAATGCAGTTTCCTACAATTCTGTAAATCTAACTTGTTTCATACAGTGATTCATTAACCTGCTATGAAATTTGTTATGCAGATAGTGTTCAACTTACAACAGTTCATTTAGTGACTGTTTGAAGTTACAATGGCACTGTACAAATGACTGTTTTTCACACTTATAACTCTTGCAGCATCCCTATGGTCACATGATTAAAATTCAGATGTTTGACAACTGGTTCATGTTCATGATGTTGTGATCAGCTTTTGTGACTTTCTGACAAGCAAAGTCAATGGGGAAGCCAGATTCACCTAACAGCAGTGTTACTAACTTAACAACTGTAGTGATTCACTTAACAACTGGCAAGAAAGGTTGTAAAATAGGGCAAAATTCACCTAACTGTTTCATTTAGCAATAGAAATTTGGGGCTCATTTGTGATTATCAACTGAGGACTACCTATAATATGCTTAATATAAATTGAGAGTAAATAAATGAAAGGACCACTTTGATAAGATTCAATGTATTGGTGATTGAAACAAAGTTCATTTCTTAGATTTAACATGTTATTTTACATTCTTTGAAGTGCCATCCATCTAGAACATATTACAACAGATTTCTCTGAGTTGCTTTATTATAAACTGAAGACAGATAAAAAGTACATCTTTATTCATTTAAATGCCTCAGGCCAATGCTGGGTTGCAAGCATTTGTCTTCTGGTGTTAAAGTAAGAAAAGAGAACAGGAGGTTGGTAGATCTCATAATTAAATGTTTTTCAAACAGTCATTAACTTACAGTGTTACATGTCTGTTATCTGCCATTCATTTTATTGTTGGTTTGACATCAGTGTTGGGAAAGGCAGTGGGGTCTCATCGTTGAGGAAATAGCTTCATTCATGCTTCTTTCTGAAATAATATGAACCTTATCTTAATACTTTGTCCCAAATCAAGCTATTGTCTGATTAAATTGGATTTAATTAGGCAGCCAGTTTTTATATCTTACAAAATCTGGTTCAGAATGTTAAACTAATGAAACATTTTCCAGTTCTAAAATATTAATAGTTTATTCAAAGTTTGCTTTATTACTGCATAAACATGTATTTTGTATACATTAATGTGTGAAACTATATATTTTGCTGAATATAAAAATTTACTTCGATCATCAGCTGACTCAAGGTAGTATATCAAACCAGTTAAAACACAATGTAACAATAAAAGAACCAAAAATAATATGGTTGAGTTTACAGTGGGAATAAAAATATAAAGAAGCATCTGCCCATTTATGATGTGCAGAACTTTAGATATGATCTCCAAAATATTATTGCAAATAGAAACAGCAACACCTTAAAGCAGACATGTCAAACACAAGGCCCGGGGGCCGGATGCAGCCCGCGAAGTGGTTTCATGTGGCCCGCGAAGCCATCCTGGAAACAGTGAGGGAACAGTCCCCGCTGCCTTGGCCCTGGCCCAGGCTGGCCGGGAGCCAATGAACAATTTTGTGGTGGCCATCCATGCTGAAACGCATCCAGTCTTAGCTCCACAAGGCCATCTAGAAACAGTGAGGAGCCATCCTCTGCTGTGTCGGCCCCGCCCCTTGGGTGCATGCTGGGGAGGTATCACCCTTTGTGAGGAATGAAAAAATGGACCATGCCTTGGTGCTTGCCCCAGTCCCACCCCCTTCTGCCAGAGATCCTCAGATCTGTCCCACTCCTGCCCAGGCCCCACAGGCACCCTTGACACGAACGATGTAGAGCTGGCCATGCCCACCCAGTAGGCCATACCCACTCCATCCATGCCCACCCAGTAGGCCACACCCACCCGGCCCCCCGAGGGCAACCACAATGCTGATGCGGCCCTCAATGAAATTGAGTTTGATACCCCTGCCTTAAAGCAACTGCATCTTTTTGTGAGACTCGGAGCTTGAAGGCAATTGTGCAATATTAGAAAAGGGTGAGATGCTTTAAGATGCTGCAGGTAGTGTTTTACTTGTTTCCTTCATACTTCAAGGCATCTTTTGGAGTTTGAGTCCAATATGCAGCACTATCCTGTTCTTCACTGAAAGAAAGATTTTATTCACTAGCCTTTATTTCTTTTCCGTTATCTAAAATAAATACAAAATAGAGTTTGCAACACCATTACATGCATCACAGACAACAATAACTCTTCCGTTATTCTCTGAACTAATCAATACTTTTTCAAAAAACAGAAAATTTAATTGCCTACTTATTAATATTGTTCACCCCAGACCTTCATTTCAACAATGGCCTTTTATGTAAATAACATTGTGCAAAGTGAAGAAAAATAAAAAGTCATTAGTCAAAACTATAATATTGAAATAAATTGAAGGAATTGATAAATCTTATCAGTTAAGAGGAAAATATAAGTAACTAGTTTAACACCATTCAAATCTATTTTTTTATTCTTGCAAAACATATATTAGTCCTATTTTCATGTTAGTTAAAAGGATCTCAGGTACTTGTTTTGTTTTTATATTTACAAAACTCATTGAAATATATTATTTGTATGAATTGGTGAAATCTGGGTATTAATTTTATGGGTGTTTTTCCACTTGCAGGCATCTTTTCTAACCAAGAAGCTAAATATTGGAGGAAAGAGAGTAAACCTTGCAATATGGGTAAGTGGTATAATCATGTTGCTATGATACTGCATTTAAATATCAAACTTTACTTAGCAAAATAATTTACTTTGAATAGATTAAATGAGATCAGTATTTTTGTATCATGCAGGACACAGCTGGACAAGAAAGGTTTCATGCACTAGGTCCTATTTATTACAGAGACTCTAATGGAGCTATTTTAGTTTATGATATAACAGATGAAGATTCTTTTCAAAAGGTAACTATACCATTTCCCTGTAACAAATAAGCACACAGCAAGTACATTTTTTTTCCAAATTAAATTTCACTCTTATACTTTAGAAATAACTTGGTAGATAAACTTATCTTATTATACTGTGGGCTTGGGTTGAATAAACAGTGGTATCTAAATGGGCTTATACCCTGAAGGAATAGCATTAACTAGTGAAATAGTGCTCCTGGATTTCACTGCATGATTCTGAATGCAGTGCTGAAGGTTGCTGTCAACGCTGCTAATATTGAATATTCTTGCTTTGCAAAATATGTAGAACTGTCTGATACTTTTAGAGTTAATTCAGAGGAGAAGGGGAGAGGAGAGAAAAGGTTGCGGAAGGGAACGGAAGTGAATCTTTGCCCTCCAGGTTAATTGGAAGATGTGAATCATGACCCCAAAATAGGGGAGGGGAAATGCCTGGAATGTTATGTGCAAAGGAAGGGAAATTCAGATCTTGGCATTCTCCATGCCGTGCTGACACTTCGTAACACTAATAAAGGCTTTTTAGGTTAAAAAATGCCTGAAAGTTCTTTGAAGTGTTTCATTAATCAGACACATGACGTCATGCCAAGATCTTCAAACCTTTCAACCCTAACTGTTCCTAAAACAAACAAATAGGGAATACGCTGACAGAGATTCGCTGACAGAGATTCGGGGAAGATCTCATTATGGAGAAAGAAAGATTGCCTGAGGCCAGCCCCATAGCTGCAACAGCTTCCCGGGGGGGAGGGGGGAGCGACAGCCGGCAAGCTGGGGGAGAGAGAACTCTGGCAGATCTCCCAGCTGGAAGCAGAGACTTCAAAAGCACAATGGTGGACAGCTAACGAATCGCCTGTCACTCAAGGTTTGGGTGAGTCACTGGAAAGATTTCAAAACCCAGAGGTGAAAAGCAGAAATCAATTCCTGCAGAGAGAAGCCTACAGCTCTTACATTGCAGATGTCTCTGCCAGGAACTCCAGCCCTGAAGAGAGAGGGAATCCCAGTCTAAGGCCTCTGCAGCAATGGGGAGATTGGGTTCCCCAGCAGGTGGATGGTCCGCGACCTCTGAATTTGCCACAGCTAATAGAGGCCTTGCAACGGCTTGGGGTGGTACAGATGCCAGGAGATCAGCAGCTGGTGGGAGAATGACCATAGCGATGAGACTGGCCACAGCCCCCAAACGGGCAACCCCTAGGCATAAATCTGCAGCCAGGATGGGGCCAGCAGCGAGGAGATTGGCCACAGCCCCCAAACGTGCAACCCCTGTGCAGAAATCTGCAGCCAGGATGGGGCCAGCAGCAACAGCCACCGTGGGGGCCCCAACAGCCTATAATTGCACCACTTTTCAGAGCAACCTTCGATGGAGACCCAGAGAAGCTGGTTTTTTCCCTCAACCAAGTGCATTCTCATTTGAATTGCTGTGCCTATCTTTACCCGGACCTGGGGGCCATGGTCGATGTGATTGTGTCCAGCCTAGAGGGAGAAGCATCCGAATGGCTGAACAATTTATATAATGAGTAAGCCCCCGAATTGGAGGACCCCCACCTCTTCCTCCTAGGGCTGAGAGAAAGATTTGAGGACCCATCTATTGGTCTTAAAGCAAGAGAACAGATCCACAAAATTAAACAAGCCAGCAGGCCTGCCCTGGAATACGTGCGGGAATTTCGCAAGATAGCAGGTCGAATAGAGGGGTGGCGTGAACAATCCCTAATCCATCATTTCATTGAGGGATTAGACGATCACCTCTCTCAGGCCTGCATCTATCGAGCCGTATCTGATCAGCTGCAAGAATGGTACCAGGCAGCAGTGAAGCTAGACGTTCAGCTTGTCCGCTATAAGAATTCTCCCCCACCTGAATCCATTGAAGCTTGTTGAAACCTTATCGGGGCTCCACTTTAAGACCTCCCCCTAAGAAGGCACCCGGGCTCCTCATAGTTGTAGGACAGACCCACTATGAAATGAAACGTATTCTTGACTCTAGAATTTTTAAAGGGAAATTGCAGTACCTAGTACAATGGAAGGGATACCCGTTGTCTGAAGCCACGTGGGTGAAATCCAGTGAGGTGAAAGCTAACAGACTCGTCAAAAGGTTTCATGCGAAACACCCCAACAAACCAAGAAATAATTCCTGACATGCTCTTATTCACATACAGGAGCTATCCTTTTTGTAAGGGGGACCGGATGTCAATGCTGCTAATATTGAATATTCTTGCTTTGACAAAATATGCAGAACTGTCTAGTGCTTTTAGAGTTAATTCAGAGGAGAAGGGGAGAGGAGAGAAAAGGTTGCGGAAGGAAACAGAAGTGAATCTTTGCCCTCCAGGTTAATTGGAAGATGTGAATCATGACCCCAGAATAGGGGAGGGGAAATGCCTGGAATGATATGTGCAAAGGAAGGGAAATTCAGATCTTGGCATTCTCCATGCCGTGCTGACACTCCGTAACACTAATAAAGGCTTTTTAGGTTAAAAAATGCCTGAAAGTTCTTTGAAGTGTTTCATTAATCAGACACATAACAGTTGCATTGGAGAAAAGGTGCAAAGGAAATCCCATTTTGTAAATAAAGTAGGCCTATGTGTCGATAAATTGATCTAAAAGCATTTTTTAAATGTACAATCCAGAAGTAAGTTCCATTAAATTAAATTCAGTAGTATTTACTTTCAAGAAAGCAGTTATAGGATTGTACTTTCTGTGAAGACAATGAAAAGAGACTGGGATTTCTTACTAGAAAATTTTAAAATAACTTTTTTAAAAACTTAAAAATTATAATATTGAAATAAATTTTCTTGTCACTTTCATAGGTAAAAAACTGGGTAAAGGAATTAAGAAAAATGTTGGGAAATGAAATTTGCCTATGCATAGTTGGTAAGATTTGGGTTTTTACATCGTATTAAATGACTAAGAAATCTTGTTCAATTTTAGAGAAATTTTGCATTTAGGTAATTGCATAAAATCTATAATTGCTTTTTTAAAACCCTTTTAATTTTGGTACTGGTTGGCTTCAGTAAGAAAAATAATATTTGAGGATTGTAAAAGGAAAAAGAAGGAAAAAATAGAAAGCAGAAGGCCAGTAGCAAGAATGTGAGAAAGTTTTCTTGAGAAATTTCTGAATGTGTTTTAATTCTTATTAGAGCCCATGTAGTTCTAGACAAGATAGTCTTTTTGAACAAATTAGTATAAAACTGCTTTAGAAACAAGATCAGAACTATACAAATTACTTGCCATTTTGGGAAGTGCTTTGGGATCTCAAATTAAGTTTAGCTGCAACTTATCTGTTTGAAATAACCACAGCTTCCTATGTAATTACACAAGTAAACATGTTTTTTAGAGATTAGCCAAAGATTTCAGGATGGACCAGGATTCTATCATGCGCTTTAATATTTTCATGGTAAAGAATTACAAAAAATGTCTGAGCATGTTGTTCTGTATTCTTGCTGCTTAATTCATAGTCTTGACAATGTGAAGTTGACTTTGATCATTAATTCTGGATACCTTAATGCATGTAGATGTAGAAAAGTAAATGCTGCTCATGCCTAGAAACAATGAAGACTAGAAGCCAGTTAGAAAGATATTGTTGATGTTGAATAGATTGTATCTTTCTGATTTATTTTGGATATTAAGGAAATCTGAATTCTTGACAGGTAACAAGATAGATTTGGAGAAGGAAAGACATGTGTCTATTCAAGAAGCAGAATCGTAAGTTTTTGACTGTTAATTTCAATACTACATTAAAGATGCCATCACTTATATAGAGCATACAGGTAATCTTCATTTAGCAACTGCTTGGACAGCAACCGATTGCAGTTGCAACAATCTCTTTCACATGTGTATCATACACAGTCAGTAACCTGTTGCCCCGTGCCTGAAAGCACATTTCTTTCACTGAATATTCCCCATTGAGTGCCTGCTGACTGTCTTATAGTCCCTTCCTCACCAAAGAATATAAATACAAGCATCAGTTCTGCTAATTACCCCAGCGCTGGAGTGACTATTTAAAAGGATCCCAGAGTGGGTGAAAAGGCTATAAGAATTGTCCTTTTCTCCAGGTTCTTCATGAGTTGAGTTCTGGAAATCTTCCCTACTGTTCGGCCTTATCTGGCTGTTTGTGCTTGTATCCTTCGGACAATAGATGCATCTCGTTTATTTTGGCCATGTCATGTGGGGAAATTCACTTATGTTAGGAACAGTTAGCAGTAAAAAGGAAGTCAATCCAAAGAACAGGATGGCTGGACACCATCAAAGCTGACAGAGTCAGAGCATAGAACAATTCAAAGTAGTGCAAGATTGGCAGATGTAGGGAGACCTGGCTCATAGAATTGCCAAGATTTGGACATAACTGAATGGATAACATCATCAACATCATTATCCTTCTCTTCCTCCTTCTGACACTGTAAAGCAAAGGAGAGGAAAGTGAAGTAAACTTGTAAGGCCAATCATGATCATATGATTTTTCACTTAGTGACTGCTTTGCTTAACAATGAGTTGCCAGTCCCAATTAAGTTTGCTAAATTAGGGCTGCCTGTATACACATTTAAATTAGGAAGTATTAAAACATTCTATGCAATTAGTGTAACTTAAAATCTACCTTTTCTGCCTCAGTTCTGCTGTCACTTAATGTTATTTTCCTAGCTAATTTTAAAGATCCAAATATTTTATTACGATCAATGACCAGATGTAACTATGATTCAGTCACAATATTACAGGGAGGAAAAGGCAATGGGATATTTTTTCTGTGCGTTAAATGTATTCAAATTTACATGGTCTGTATAATTTGCTTATAACAAAAAATGCATGCAATTTTCAGTCATAAGATAAGTTTTTTCTTGCAGATATGCAGAATCAGTGGGAGCAAAACACTATCACACATCTGCCAAACAGAACAAAGGAATAGAAGAACTCTTTCTTGATCTGTGTAAACGTAGGTTTGTCTAACATATGGGTTGATGTTTCTGTTATGAAAGCTAATGCCTCCTCAATGATGAGCTATTGTTTTATAGCCAGTTTCATTTGCGCTAGATTTAAGCTATGTAAGACAATTTGCATTATGAATTTATAATTTTTTATTTAACATTCTTAACATAAACAATTAACAAAACAATCTTTAAACTTAAGGAAAAAAATGAATAGAAACCAAAACTCAAAGAGAAAAAATAGGAAAGAAACAACATCCAAACTAAGAATGAAAAGAAAAAAAAACCTTATATTTTATACTTAACAATAGTCACTCATTACTAATAAATGCACTATTGTAAATACACTACAAAACATTATCATAAAATATCACAAACTCTCTGCCATAGTAAACACATATTGTTACATCCTTTGGTTAGTAAAAAATATTGCCTTTTCCAAACAGACAGATCACACATTTCTGACAACCATTCCTTAACATTTGGAATAATACCACATGTCCAGTTTGCCAATAAGATACTTTTAGCCATTTCCCATTCTTGATATAACCATAATTCCTGATCATTAATCAAATTCCAAAGCCTTGGTATATAATTCAACATCACACTTACCTTTAACATCTAAAATTTTTCCCTACCTATACATTATCCCAATAAGATATCAAATTATCACATGACCATGTGATATAGAAGTTTTTCATATTAAAATTATGTAATTTTAGTTAAGCACAATAGTGCAGAATCTCCTGTCCACATTAGTATTCTGACATCACACAGTGGTTATTATGCAGCTCTGAATATTTTCATATAGTCGGATGTCATTGAATGTTAAAATGTTATTACTATTTAAAATTGAGCTACAACATTTATAAACTATTTAACTTAAAATACACACACACACGCACACAAAATATTTTAAGGACATAGCAGTTCTCAACCTTTTGAATGCCGTGACCCCCAACCGGTCATAAGTCGAAGACTACTCAACCGGTCGTAAGTCGAGGACTACTCAACTGGTGCAGCACCGTTTGCAGAATGGGACTTTTGAAAGCCAATAGAATTAGACTCTATTCAAGAGAGTCTATTCTATTGACTTTCAAAAGCCAATAGAATAAAAGGGAGTAGCACAGCTAAGGAAAAGGGGGGGAAAAATGGCGGACTGCGTTTGGCGACCCCCGTGAAATGGTCGTTTGACCCCAAATGGGGTCCCGACCCACAGGTTGAGAACCACTTACATAACTAGTTCCTTGTTGAATATTTCTATCTTCAGCAAAATGCATGTGCATTGTTAAGATTTTGGAGGTACTGTATACTAATATCATTGGTAATGCTATTTTGACTTACTAAGAATTTCATACAGAATTATAAAATAATGTAGCTAAGTTTTTTAGACCAGAACAATGTATAGAGGGAGCTACTGTGTTTCCCTGAAAATAAGACCGTCTTATATTTTTTTTGCCTCCAAAAGAGGCACCGGGTCTTATTTCTGGGGGGTGTCTTTTCCATGGTCTCATTTCGCGATGGCGGTACCAGCTAGGCAGCCCATTTCTTCTGCAGCCGAAGGAAATGCCTCGAGCTGAGAATGGAGCTCTGGATTGATGTGCGCGGCGCCTTTTGGCCTGCATTTCGCCATCAGAGGCCTTCCGGAAAGGCCTCTGCAGCTGAGAACCGAGCTATGGATTGAATCTAGTTCTGTTCTCGGCTGTAGAGGCCTTTCCGGAAAGCCTCTGATGGCAAAATACAGGCTGGGGGGAGCCGCAGGAGAAGTGGGCCGGCAAAGAGAGGCAAGTGTCAATTCATGGGAGGCCTGGCTGCAATGGTAAGCGGGTGCAGGGCATGTGGGGCAGCTCCACCCCCCTCCACCCCCCAGCTTGATTTTTTGGCATATGCCTCACCCAAAAACTAGGGCTTATTTTGGGGGTAGGGCTTATATTAGCCCCCCAATCAAGCTAGGGCTTATTTTCGGGGTAGGGCTTTCAGGGGAACACTTTAGTATTTTGTTTTGCAACCTGTCATCATTTTGTTTACTATTTCTGCTCCTGTATTTAAGTCAGTTAGGGCAGTACGTTTGGTAGCTACTAAGGTAGGTACTTAGGGGCTTATCAGTAGTTGGAGGTATTCCAATGTCTGTTCCTGTTCAAGATTATATTTATAAGATTAATGATCTTATCCCAGTGGCATAATTTTCCTATTTTTGTCTTTGTTTTCTGCAATAATACAGGATGAGGAGGATAGTAGATTGAGCAGTAATTGTGAGAAAGACAATTGTAGATCAGAAATGGCACTGCTTATTAAAGCTCATAATTTGTAGCATGAAGCCATGCTTCCAGTAGTATGTACTTTGATTCCTGGCTGCTAGATCCATCCTGGAACATGTGTTGGATAATATAGAGAGAGGCAGGAATCGCAGGTCTGCTAAAAGATGAACAAATAATATAAGCCTAACTTGCTAAATTGGTGCTTGGCAAGTGTGATATTCTTTAAGATATAGCCTCTTAATTCCATACGAGAAGAAGGTGATCCAATTTCTGCTTATTTCTACTGAAAGGTTAAACTTAATGCCTGATATATAAAAATAAGACAGAAAAAAAATACATATGATAAGTAATGTGGGGCTTCAAAATACAGTTCTACAGAAGTTAAATCTTGTTAAATAATTGGATGAATGTGCATATAAATTCACATCTTAAAAGTGTTATAACTGACAGGTAGCCTTTGTAACAAAAAGCATTTCAAAAGAATGGCAAGGATGAGATACTGGCAATGCTGATATTTAAATTATAATACAGTTTATGGACTAGAAGGAAAAGGATTTCCTTCTGATCTGCTTTCAGATTCCTGAATTGAAGTCATAATCATAGGTCCTGCAGTTGTTCGTTCTTATTTTACAGTAACCATATAGGAAGATGTGCCAGGGAAATTGAAGACTATTGCTTATTACTAATACCGTGCATGCAATTTATTAGCCGCATCAGAGTTCAAAAATACAGAAAAATGGTAGTACCTGTCAGCTAATGGGCTGCTGTAGAATAATCTGGGATGGTAATAACTGAAATAGAATGATTACAATCTGAAAAGTGATAACCTCTCTGTAACTGTGACATATTCAAATTGATTTGGATAATTATCTTTGCTATCGTATTTGATTCTTTGGAGACAATTTGCCTCTAATTTTAGTTGTTAGTAATACACATAGGTTTCAGATAATATTGGGTATTTAAATTAGGTTCTGATTGTAAATTAACTTATAAGTAGTATGTGTATTTAAATAATTTTTTTACAAAACTTGCATATGTTACATTTGTATAAATACAATTTGCTTTTTTGTTCAATGATTAGAAATTCTCTAATACAATATTTTTGTATTGTAGGAATGATAGAAACTGTGCAAGTTGATGAGAGAGCACGAGGCAATGGTTCTAGTCAATCAGGAGTTGCAAGGCGGGGAGTACAAATAATTGATGATGAGCCAGCAGCTCAGAGTAGTGGAGGTTGCTGCTCCTCTGGATAATTGTACAAGAGACTGTGCTTCTTGCCCTTTAGTGAAGACTGCCACATTCAGAGTCTCATTCTTTATCAGTGGGGAATTGGAATTAACAGTATTTAAAATCACTTGTAACAATTCAATTCAATACCATTAAGTGCTAAACTAGCAGAGCCAGAGAATTGGCATTTTCTACAATGATTAACAAAGCAAACCAATGGCCTTTTTACATATTTCTTTAATAATGAATAATATTGCATGTGAGAAAGACTTATGGCTTCATTTATATTTTAAATGAGATCATTATTTAATAACTTATACACCTTATTGGAATTAGACATTTTTTGCAGCCCTTTGTATTTTGTGGTAGATCAAGTTGTATTTCTTCACAATTGCAAATCCATTTCTTTTTAATTAGCAGATACCTGGATACTATTTTTGCAGGGGTACCATTGATATATAACTGCTTGACTACTTTGATATATTCATCCTGTACTCCATGCTGGTAAAATAAATGGTAAATCACACATTAAATATTTTATCTGCTTTTATAAATGCAGGTGCAGAAATATGTACACAAGTCTTGTCAGTAATTGTGAGGTGAAAAAATGGTGGAAAGATACAAGTTCTATTACTTACTGCTGACTTTCTCTTTGTTAGATTATGATAATTATTTTTTGTTGGTCTAAACTTTACATACGTTTCTGAATATTTTTCTAGCAATTATTGATCTATAACACTCTTAAGTCCCAAAAAATCTAGTTGGAATGTTGTGAACTGTTACGTTTATTTTTATTAATACAGTTTGAAATGGATAAATACTGCTTATAACACACAGAAATTATAACTGTGAATTGGCCTTTTCTATTTGATCATCTCTAAGAAAGACCTGCTCATAAAACTTCATTTGTCTTTATAGTCTTGCTTCCATTTATATATAGTGTTAAAAACGGAAATTAAAATAATTTAGCTGCAACACATAAAAATCCATTAAAAATGGATAGGAATTATTAAACTTCAATCAGCTTTGTTTAAATCCACCTTTTGAGAGCTTCTAATTATCAAGTATGTCTAAGGTATTTTCCAAAAAAAACAAATACAGATAACATACTTGAAAGTGTTTTTGTTTCAAAATTATATTACATAAAATATGATATTGTTGAATTCCTAAAGGAAATTCCACATGGTTATATAATAAATGAGAGTATTTTAGCATGGAATATACATGATTTTGCTTTTAGAATTTTATTGTTTGATTCTAACTTCACTTCAGATGGCTTGAATTTTCAGTACTATGATGAATATAATGAACATGCAAGCTCAAACACAGAACACTGCAAATTGGATACACATCCCATAAGGGTCACCTTCCAGATACTGACACAGAACCTTTGAGAGTGGCGTTTTAGAAGACTGCATGCATTTATAATACTATTAAAGTTGATGTATGAAAATCAGTGGAAGTTAACAGGAGGAAATTAACTGTCACACATGGCCATAAACTGGGTAATATATACGTTATACTCTACCTTAACCCCGATTGAAACTGTAAATTAAATGATTTGTTAAAATACATATGTTCAAGTAGCTTGGTTACTGTGACTTCTATCATGTGCTGCTGTAAGCTACCCTATATTCATTAAATATTCATATTTAGTATCTTTTTACAGCTATTTGTCTGAACTGTGTTTGATATAGACAGTTATGAGTATCTGTTCAAAGGCAAAAATGATACCTCTGCTGATTTTAGAAAAGGTTTCATCTTTCATCTTCACTACTATAAAAACAATCCTTGGTTTTTGTCCTTTTTTTTCTCCTTCTCATCTGATATGCTCTTGGAATGTGCCTTGCTGCATTATTGTAAAATACAAATAGGATATTGGATGATTTAGAGCAGGGCTTTTCAATTGGTGGTACGTGTACCACTGGTGGTACTTTGGCACCTGGCAGGTGGTACGTGACCTAGACAAGTGTAGTGGGGGGATGAACTGAAGTGATGGCAGTGCCGCCCAGGCCTGGGAGAGAGTCAGCTGGGGCTCTGCTGAGGGCCCAGGATCAGTGCATGTGGCTCCAGCTGATTAGTGCTTCTGGTCTTTTGGGGTGGTAGGCAGCCACACGCAGTCTTCGGGTGGAGAGTCAGCTGGAACTGGGGCTCTGCTGAGGGTCCTGGATTGGTGCATGCAGCTGCAACTGATTGGTGCTTCTGGCAGCCTCTGTTATCACAGGGAGCAGCAGACAGGCCTTGAGGTGAGAGTCAGCTGAGCTGCAGAGCTGCTGGGGCTTGGCAGAGGCCCAGGATTGGCACACAGAGCTCCAATTGAGCAGCAATATGTGCAACGGCCAGCCGGGGAGCGGGTGACTACATGCGGGAGTGAGACGGGTAGCGACCAATGCTGCAGCTCTCCCTGAGTCCCAGACAGTGGCGCACCCAGAAGAGAAGAGGAGGAAAGGGGGGGGGGGAGAGGAGAGGATATAAAAGGAGATTTTGGCAGGAGAGGAAGAGAAAAAAAGATGGGGAAAGAGAGATAGAAGAGAGGCTTCTGTGAGACAAGCAGAGGGATCAAATGAAGAAGTAGAGGCTGTGGAAAGAGCCCAGTAGACAGTAAGGAGAAAGGGAGAGGGAGAAGAGAGGCTTCTGTGAGACAAGCAGTGAGGAGAGAGAGAGAGAAGAGGAGAGGCTTCTGTGAGACAAGCAGAGGGATCAAGTAAAGGAGCAGAGGCTGTGGAAGGACCCAGGACGCAGTGAGGAGAAAGGAGAAGAACAGAGTAAGAATGGTCAACCAGCCACCTGACCACCAAGGTAGTGATGCATATTAATAAATATGGATAAATTCATCATTCGTTTGTCAGTGCAAAGAGAAAGTGATTCAGCAAAGGAACCACCACCAAAATTAAAACCGGTACTTTTTTCCTTTTTTTCTTTTGGCCATCAAGTTTTTGACACCCTGCTAAGCACTGATGGTACTTGAATATTGTCATGACCTAAAAGTGGTACAATCTGAAAAGGTTGAAAAGCACTGATTTAGAGAGCACCCACATTCAAAATTCTTAAGTGAGCAGGATATTGCTGAAATTTGAGGATAGTTCCATATTAAAATTGATACCCTTATTCTAGACAGGAACATAACTTACGTAATGAAAATAGTCTGATTGTACTTTTAAGCTGCTTAATTCATATTCCTCCTTATTTTATACATGTAATAATGTTTTTCTATTAAAAACACTTTATAGAAAGCTTTATAGAAATTGAGAGACAAAAAGTGAAAATGGGCATTTTCCCAATTAATATTTGTAAGGAGGTAGATACTGCTTACCAATAGAAGCAAACTGCAAGTTGACTTCTTAGAATCTTACCGTGGAATCATCGTTGAAAATTAATCTACTTTGCACTCATGACATAATTGCATGTTTTTTATTTATTCAATTTCTATTTCATAGTGGCCATTTACACATGTGTTTGAAATATTTAACTTTTTAAGGATATGATTCTCTTTTTACCTTTAAATTCATGGTCCCTTATTTATGTTTCTGATATATGTGTAAGTTGGAAGACTAATGGAAGTATTTTGTATATTAGTAAACAGATTTTACTGGTATGTTAACTTTATCAATGTTTTCATAATTTGTGTAGTGGATGCTGTAGTCTTGAAACAGAAAATACACCCTCTTTGAGTTTTGCAGTTTTAGATATCAGGATATAGTAAAAATCATTTATCTAAAAGTAGGTGAACAACCACACATGACATGTTACACCATGTCATCTATTTAACAAAAAGAAAGCCAAAATGAAGAGGGCATATGTGAAAAGCTAAGTGCACCATGATTGCAGAACCACTTTTAGCAGCAATAACTTGAAGTAATTTTTTTCTCTATGTCTCTCACATCTTTGTGGAGGAATTTTGGCCCAATCTTCTATACAACATTGCTACAGTTCATCGAAATTTGTGGCCATTTGTTTATGCATAGCTCTCTTGAGGTTCCATCACAGCATTTCAATCAGGTTGAGGTCTGGACTTTGAGCCATTGCAACACATTGATTCTTTTCTTTTTAGGCTATTTTGTTGTAGATTTGCTGGTATGCTTGGAATCATTGTCCTGCTGCATGACCCAATGTCAGCCAAGTTTTAGCTGTTAGGCAGATGGCCTCACATTTGACTCTAGAATACTTTGGTATACAGAGGATTTCATGGTCGATTCAATAACCATGAGGTGCCCAGATCTTGTGACTGCAAAACAAGTCCAAATCATCAACCCTCCACCACTGTTTTTGACAGTTGGTATGAGATGTTTGTGCTGATATGTTGTGTTTGTTTTTTTCCAAACGTGGCATTGTGCATTATGGTCAAATATCACCACATTGGTCTCATCTGTTCAAAGGACAGTGTTCCAGAGGTCTTGTGATTTGTTCAGATGCAGCTTTGCAAAACTAAGCCCCGCTGTCATGTTCTTTTTAGAGAGAGGCGGCTTTCTCCTGGCAACCCTTCCAAACAAATAATACTTGTTTAGTCGTTTTCTAATTGTACTGTCATGAACTTCAACATTTAACATGCTAACTGAGGCCTGTAGAATCAGATGTAACTTTTTTTTTGCAGTTTCTCTGAGCATTGCACAGTTTGATCTTGGGGTGTATTTGCTGGGACATTCACTCCTGGGAAGATTGGCAACTGTCTTGAATGTTTTCCACTTGTGAATAATCTTCCTCACTGTAGAATGATGGACTTTAAATTGCTTGGAAATGGCCTTATAACCCTTCCCAGATTGATAAGCAGCAACAATTGCTTCTCTAACATTGCTGCTGTCTTTCTTATTTGGCATTGTATTAACCCAAACCACAATGCTGGAGATCAGCAAACTCCTAAAATTTTGGGTTTTATAGGCGTACTCGCACTTGCTGATGATCAGTTGATCAAGGGCACTTGATTAGCAACATGTGGCTGCTACATAGTTTCTTCATATCTATGGAAGCAGTAAGGTTGCACTCAATTTTTCACACATGGCTTTTCCAGTCTGGCTTTCTTTTTGTAAAATAAATTATGATATGGTGTAATATGTCATATGTTGTTGTTCATCTGAGGTTGTATTTACCTACTTTTAAGAACTGCTAAGTACCAGACGATTTTCACTATGTTCTGATATATAAAACCATAGAACTCCAAGAGGGTATACTTTTTTCACATGGCTATTATGGAATATTTTTGAAGTAAGTTCAATTCATTCAATGTATTGTATTTCCAAGAAGCAGAAAACACTAAGAATTATAACTCTTCATGTAAACTATGGAAGAGAGTAGTTAAGAGACCAGGGTAGAATGACTTACTATCTGTTCTTTAACAGATTGTGGTTCATGAGTAATAGAAAAACTGCCACTTCTGCCTTCCAGCATCTGTGACCAAAGTTGGTTATTTTGTTCCATGTAACAGTCCTAATACAGGCAGCCCTCAATTTATTATCGTAATTGAGTCTGGAATTAGATTTGCAAGTAATTGTGGTTGTTAAATGGGTCATCGTTTGACCAGACCTGACTTTACATTTTTTTGTGGCCGGTAAGCAAACATTAAATGAACCATTATATCCAAGCAGCAAAATCTGGAAACTGGCAAAAAAAGTAAAATATGGTCATGTGAATGGGGCATTGGCTGTAAAGGTGAGCAGTTAGAGTTAGAGTGCAGTACTGCAGGCCACTTTAGTTGACTGTGTTCAGCAGGTCAGCAGTTCAAATCTCACCGGCTCAAGGTTGACTCAGCCTTCCATCCTTCCAGGGTAGGTATAATGAGGACCCAGATTGTTGGGGGCAATGTAAATATATATATACATTGCTTACTGGTGTACACCGCTTAGAGAGTGCTTGCACTTAAAGCGATATATAAGTCTCATAAATAAATAAATAATAAATAAAGTGCCCAAAGTGCAATCATGTGACCATGATAAAGTAGGTGGCCATCATAACTTCAAAAAAAATCGGATCATAAGTACCTTTCATGGGCCTTTCCTAAGTTCAAAGGGTCACACCTTTCGGTGTAAGTCAAGGACTGCCTGTAAAATTTTGCTTTTAAAGTATTAGTTCATAATGCAGAACTGCTAGTTGGTCCAATACAGTTTTAGATATTTTAGTTACTAATCCATTATTGGGAACAATTTTTGTATAATATTGAGCACATATTTTAAAAACAGTGAAACATTCAATTTATTTAAGATAAGCTTCATTTCATAAGTAATTTTAGTTAGATTATCAACATTATTAATAAAAAGATGGATGGATAGATATATAGATGTATAGTATATACCATTCCTTCCCCAGCTCCTGCTTACCTAGCAGTTCAAAAGCATGCAAATGTGAGTAGATAAATAGATACCACTTAGTTGCGAAGGTAACAGTGTTATGTGCACTTTGGTGTATAGACATGCTGGCCACTGAAGCATCTTCGGACAACGTTGGTTCTCTCAGTTAAGAAACAGATGAGTACCACCTCCTAGAGTTGGACATGAACGGACAGGGGAAACATTTACATTTAATTGTATAGTTAGATTATTATGATTGAGTGTGAATTTCATTGTCGCTTATATTAATTAATACAGTATATTTCAGTATACTGTACCAACAAAATACACATTTTATTTCCAAAATGTTTTTGGAACACAGACATATCCTTCAAGCATTTATTGAAAATAAGAATAAAGAGTAGGCACCATAAGCACGCTTTTGCTTTCTTGCCCCCCAATCTTCCAAGACAATGGCAGAGAGTATTCCTAACAATAAGTAGGAAATAAATTCATAATTAATAGGTGTGCCACACTCCAGGAGCTATTTTGTAACTATCCATGGAATGTCAACTTTTCAAAAGTACTTACAGATCTGAAAGTTTGATGATCATGGGAATAAAATATTTTTGATGGCACTGAAGATGATGCTAAGCAAAGCCAAACATATTATATTATGGTACAGCACGTTCTATCAGTTCAACTGCTATAATAGCCTTTCAGTGATCTTATTTTATATATTTTTATTTTACTGCCAAAATAAAGGAAAAATGCAGTTCCTAAACAGTAACTTCATTCATACCAGAAAACCCAACAATTCACATTTTGATTTAGCAAGAAAAACTTAATTAGATTCAAAATCAGTCAACAATAAACTTAAGCAAGGTGGTCTATAAATCTATTAACAGATGCATTGTTAATTCATTATAGAAGGAAGACTGTTAGCCTATGATATTGGGTGGCATATAAATTTTATTAATAAATAATATTAATAAATAAATATCAAAAATCAGTCTGGTTGCATTTTTTCAGGTTTAAAATATAGATTTTCATGACCTAGAGCTTACCTTGATGCATGAAGTAGCTAAACTGACGTAGAACTTAAATTGGGATGAGGTGGTAAAATGGAGAGGAAAATACTGTAAGTTATGAAGATGCAAGTTAATGTGAAACATATCAAATACTTCAGTGAATAGTAATATGTCAACCACTCCTTTTGTTTGTTCAGATTGTGAATGGTTGAAATCTGATGTATGCGAGTTCAGGAGTCTCAATTGTGCTGCTGACTTTTCTGAAGCAGTCTTATACATCCATAGAATAGTTTTATGGTGAGCTTTTTTAAAATTTTTTATTCATAATACAATTAAAACAAAAATGGACAAACATGACATTCCAGAATGAATTTTCCTAACAGTTTGTTTCTCATGGTACAAAAACTTAATACATCATTCTTAACCTCTGTATAAGCCTCATCCTTCTATACTCGGGTAGGCAACCCAAAACACTTAAAGAGCCACTTGGACCCGTTTCCCACCAAAAACAAAACACTGGGAGTCGCAAAACCGTTTTGATATCTAAAATGAAGATAACACTGCATATATCCTTTTTTACCTTTATTATAGGTGTGTGTGTGTTTGTGTGTGTATGTATGTGTGTGTGTGTGTATGTATATGTATGTATGTATGTATGTATATATATATATATATATACACACACACACACACACACATACATACACACACAGGTAAAAAAGGATATATGCAGTGTTATCTTCATTTTAGATGTCAAAAGGGTCTCTCTCTCTCTCTCTCTGTCTCTCTCCCTCCCTCCCTCTCTATCTGCCCTTGGTCTGCCTGCCACTCTTCCCCCGCTCTCTTTCTTTCTCTCTCTCTTTCCTCTCTCTCTCTCTCCCCCTCTCTTTCTCTCTCTCTCTTTCTCCCCCCCCCTCTCCTATCTGCTGCTCACCTGACAAGCTTCAAGCTGTTGTCCAACAAGATAAGGGGTAGACAACCTCGTCTCTTTTATGACTCATGGACTTCAACTCCCGGAATTCCTGAGTCAGCCTAGCTAGGCTAGCTAGCTCTCTCCTGCCCTTCTTGCTTCCTGCAGAGACGCAGCAAAGGGAGGAGCTCTGCCCAGTAAGCTTTTCAGCTCCTTGGAAAACACTGTGAGTCCACTCTCTTTTACATACACACACACACAAAAACACAAAACACACAAACACAGAGAGAGAGAAGCAGGGAAGCGCAATTCCTCTCTCTGTCTCTGTCTCTCTCTGCAAAGGCAGAGGAGGCTGGGAGCCGCAGGGGAAGGCTCAAAGAGCCGCATGCGGCTCCGGAGCCGTAGGTTGCCGACCTGTGCTCTATACAATACAATTATATATATAATTATATGTACAGTTATATATATCTTTTAATTCTAAAATTAACTTGAAGTCCGAGCAGTTCTCCTTAATTCATACCAACGGTAAAATTTGTCCCAGATTTCGAAATATTCGTGTTCTGTCTTGTCTTTCATAATCATTGTAAGCCTGTCCATCTCAGCACATGATAAAATTTTATGCAGGATCTCTTCTTCTGTTGGAGTTCCCTTATTCCTCCAGTTTTGAGCAAAAACCAGTCTGGAAGCCGTTAAAATGTGTAACATTAAATAAAGTACGCCTTTGTCATGCTTTTGTGTAGTTAAACCTAATAGAGTTCTGGTTTTGGTTCTACCACTCGCTCTAATATTTCTTCCAACCATACTTTATGAGCTCGTGTGCATTCCCACCACATAGGATAGTATGTTCCACTTGTCAGATTACATTTCCAACATTTAGGGGAGACATTGGTACACATTTTAGCCAATCTTGTGGGTGGGAGATGCCATCTATAAAACATTTTGTAGAGGTTCTCTTTGTAAGAGGTGGCCAAAGTAAGCTTGTTTCTTGCCCATAGTTCTCGCCAGATGTGCAGATCAAAATTAAGACCAAAGTCCTTGGGTGAGCTTTTTTGAATATAGATCAAATCTAAGGATGATGATGAGGTGGAAGTTGCTGAGATTTTAATGGAATTTTATGAGATATTATTTTCCATGGATTCAGATGATGAATATGTTAATAAATCTAAAATAATGAAGGGTTTAAGGAATAAGAGTTGATAAAAAGTTCACCATTGTCCTGTTGATTTTCAGGAATAAATTTCCACTAAAGGTAAAGTAGTTATGGTTGAGTATAGAATTACACAATGTGGTGGCAATTTGTATGCCCTTAGGATAGAAATTGTTAGAATTTGATGTTAGTTGCTTTTTGGCTTCCTGACATAATACACCTTGCTCATAAAGAATGCTGTCCCTTTTTTGTCAGGTTGTTTCTTTATGATATTGTTATTCCTGAGGCTTTAGAAATATAGTGTAACTACCCACACAATGAGATCATAGATCCAATTTGATTCCCAGCAACCATTAAATAACTGACCACAAAAACAGAATAGAACAGCGCTGGTTCTCAAACCACTCAAACACAGTCTATATTGGCCAATGACATTGTAGTTTTTCAAGTCTGGGTAGAGATCTATACTTACATACAGACAACCATCCAACCTGAAGAAGTGTCTCACAAGAAACAGGACAAGGACAAAGATGCTAACAAGGGAAGCAATCCAACAAATCCAGATGTCTTCTTTGCCCATGCATTTGTATCAAAAGAACCAATATATTTTCCAACAACTTCATAATTAAGATTAAAGATATCTTCACATGCTCTTACTTTAACATAATACTGTACATGCCATCATCTACCAGCAAGGAGCTGGGACAACTTGTGGCCAGCTCAGCATGGCCAGCTCACCATTGCCAAATCACTACTGCCAAGTTGCCACAGGACAACTCCACTTGGACAACTTGCCACGGGGACAACTTGCCGTGGATGGCTGGAGGGAGAACCAGGCAGGTGAGTGAGCAGGAGGGCAGATTGCAGAATGGCGGCCAGGGGCCTCCCATTTTCACAACTCTGCCACTGCTGCCGAGCTCTGGGCCAAAGAGGTCAGGGGTGGTGGTGTGTGTGAAAATGGGATGCCCTCAGCTACCACTGCCTCCCTGCCAACCCCACCACTATCCCCAACCTATTCAGTTCAGAGCTTGGTGCAGCAGCAATGGCAGCAGTGTGGTATCATCCTCCCATGAGTGGTCGACCTACCAAGATCACATCAAGAGCAAGACATGTAATACTCTGGGAGATCTCCAAAAAACAAAAAACCCACAGGGTAATGTTTAAAGAACTAAAAGCCGCTTATGCATTGGTATCAGTGTTCATGAGACTGCCATCAGAACACTGAAAAGCAATGATGTGCATTGCAGGGTTACAAGAACAAGGACAATACTCTCCAAAAAGAACTTCTGCTCATCATCAAGCTGCTTGTGAAAGACCACATGGATAGGCCAAGGCTATTGGAAGAATATTCTATGGATGGATTACACCAAAATAGTTTTTTTAATTGAATGAAAAACTCTGGTGAAAAACAAATACTTTATTCCAGCATTCCAGTATAAGAACCTTATCCCATCTATGAAACGTGGTGGTTGTAACATGGTTTGGGCCAGTTTTGCTGCCCCTGGACCAGGATGACTTGCTATCATTTATAGAATTTTGAATTCTGAATTGTACCAACAAATTCTACAGGAATGTCAGGATATCTGTTCATGAATGGAAGCTCAAGGGAAAATGGGTCATGTGGCAAAACAATATGACACAACTCATATAACTAATAATGTTTAAAGCAGGAGAGATTTAATTTTTTTCGGAAAGTCCTAACCTTAATCTAATAGAAATATTATGTAGGCATCTGAAGTGGGCAGTTCATGCAAAGAAGCCCATTAACATTTGCTGAGTTGAAGCTGTTTTGTAAGGAGGAATGAGCCAAATTTTTTTCAAACTGATGAACAAATGTAATCAACAGTTATTGGAAACATTTGGTTAAGTCAACATACTTTTGCTACACACAAAACATTTAAATTTGTCATCTTCCTCAATAAATAAATGAACAAGTATTTTTGACTTATTTAATTAGATTCTCCTTATTTAAGTTTAAGACGTGTAGAGAACAGATAACATTTTAGATCATATTTATGCAGAAATATTGAAAGTCAAAAGGGTTCACAAATGATAAGCACCATTGTATCTGAAATTTGCCTTTAAAAGGTATGAATTACAACATTTCTTGGATGGAAAGGCAATAATATTGACATTGACAATTAAACTTTTTATTCCTCAAAATATTTCAAATCACTGTACAGTATTGCAAATTCTTTCATTTGGAATTCTGAGCAAGAATTGATATTAGCATACATGATACTCCCTTTCTATTGTCAGAGACGGGGAAATGGTGACACATGCACGATGATGACATCAGAATCTTACAGGCTGCTACGCTTGTGTTCCTTTTGAATATTTTTCAATTGCTGTATTCCATATAAGGGAGATGTGCCCAGATGTGTTATATTTTTAAATCATGTTTTTATCTTGTGTTAAGAGCTCAAACTCATCTTTATGAGTATAGGCTTAAGATACAGAAGGATCTGAACAAACTGGAACACTGGGCGCTATCTAACAAAATGAAATTCAATGCTGAAAAAAGTAAAGTTCTACATTTAGGCAAGAAAAACCAAATGTACAGGTATAGTATAGGGGGTACCTTGCTCAATAGTAGCAACTGTGAGAGGGATCTCAGAGTCCTAGTGGACAATCACTTAGATATGAGCCAGCAGTGCTGCACCTGCCAAAAAAGCCAACAGAGTGTTAGGTTGCATTAAGAGAGGGATAGAATCAAGATCACGTGAAGTATTAATACCACTTTACAATGCCTTGGTAAGGCCACACTTGGAATACTGCATCCAGTTTTGGTCACCACAATGTAAAAAAGATGTTGAGACTCTGGAAAGAGTACAGAGAAGAGCAACAAAGATGATTAGAGGTCTGGAGGCTAAAACATATAAAGAATGGTTGCTGGAATTGGGTATGTCTAGTTTAATGAAGAGAAGGACGAGGGTTGACATGATAGCAGTGTTCCAATATCTCAGGGGCTGTCACAAAGAAGAGGGAGTCAAGCTATTCTCCAAACCGCCGGAAGGCAGGATAAGAAGCAATGGATGGAAACTAATCAAAGAGAGAAGCAACCTAGAACTAAGGAGAAACTTCCTGACAGAACAATTAACCAGTGGAACAACCTGCCTCCAGAAGCGGTGAATGCTCCAACACTGGAAGTTTTTAAGAAGAGACTGGACAGCTATTTGTCCGAAATGGTATAGTTTCCTGCCTGTGCAGGGGGTTGGACTAGATGATCTCCAAGATCCCTTCCCACTTTATTATTATTAAATGCATATATAATGAAAGCGATTTTTCACTGAAACCAGTATCTTTTCCTCCTACACAATTGTATGTTTTAACATGTCACCTTTTTATCAGTTTTA